GGGAAGCCCACTACTGCAGACAGACTTTTATAATTTCCACTCGCATAAGCTCAGTTTTTATTTGCTCTCTTCAGCTTTTGTTCATCGGTTCCCATTTTTGATTTCGTTTTTTTTTTCATAAGTTTAGGTTTGCTTTAATTTTTCTTTGTAGTGCTGTGTTGTCCCTTTCTCTTTACAGCTGTTCCCAGCTCGCGCATCGAACTTCCTGTTAGTACCTTTGTTTTCCTTCTTTATCTTGTCCTGAAATCCGGGCACCCATCGCTTTCACATCCAGTTACTCTTTTCATTTCTCGCTTCGAACTTCTGACTGTCACCGTTGTTTCACTTCTTTGTCCCCTATCCAGTCCTTGCCCTCGGAGCTGCATCTGGACATCCACCAGCCACCATCTCCAAACAACATCCGACCCTCTTACCGATCACTGCGCAAGCACGCCATCCAGCCATTGGATGCTGGGTAGCATTACCCAGCGCTCGTTGGGAAAGGGCCAAGCAGTGCCGGTGGGTGATGCTGCGAAATAGCGTTGGTGAAGAGAGAATTTCATAATGGCGGCCGAGCCAAGGTCGAGCTTTAGTAACCGGCTTTGCTCATCTGACGGAGAGTCTGATTACTTGCACGGTCACAACCGCTGCCTTGGTGTCCCGGTCACAACTAGTATTTCCCTTTCTGCTTCCGTCATTAACTGTGTCTAGCACATAAGAAAATACGATAGTAGAACTGCGCAAATTATTCAGTGCGTTTGCCCTGTGTCCATTTGTTTCTGGCTGCCTATCATCCACGCTTTTTGTACTTTTGCCTATGTTTTGGCTTCTTATTGTTAGGCTTAGGAAAGATATTGTTGTTTTGATAGGCACAAAAAGCCTTTTTTGATAAAAGGGTTTGATACACAAGGAATTGAAGTATTTGATGAGCAGAGGAATGAGGTACAAAGTATCATTCTTTTAAAAAATACATTAGAATTTAAGAGATATAATTTATTGGAAATAATGTATTTTTCATCTACATTATAGTTTTCCGTGTAATATTCTTTTTCTACTAACATAGAAGTTTCGCAAATCTAATACCGAATCCGCATTTTACACAGTATGCTTGACCCAAAAGTTACTCCTCTTTTATACCTCATTCCCAGGGGGTATCAAATTTCTGGAAGCAATGAGATCTGGATTTCAAAGCTCTAAGCCCTCGTTCTTTCCAAGAATTTAAATATTTTTAAAACAGTTTTTATCCAGTCCAACTGCATTTTGAGCCAGTGTTGTGTCTGTGTGTGCGTGTTTGTCCCCTGCGAACTTTCCAGCTCTGTGTTC